TCTCAGGAGCTTTTGTTCCCTGCAAGCTCTCGGTACAGCTTTGGAGGACCAGGGCAGAAATGGTGGCCTCCCAATCTCCACCCGGAGGAGCTGAGAACTCGGGGCCCCGCTCCTCAGTGTGTCCCCAGAGAAAAGCAGTCACTCCCATGTCCCCGATCTCCGGCCGCACTCCGTGCTCACCTGGCCTGTGATTGAGCGTTGCTATCTCTGGCACCCGACCCCGCACGGAGTCTCCAAACCCAGCAGATCCCTGCAGTGCGTTCCCGCACCGCTCCTCCCCGGGAAGGAAGGGGAGTCTCCCCGGATCTGCTGCTTGTTGGGTCCCTGCTGGGGGAGCCGTGCCCTGACTGGGCCGCAGATCACAGTTTATGGCAACCCCGAGCTGAGAGCCCGCGACTCTGCTCCGTCTCTGCAGCTGGCTTCCCCGCTCTGATACCTGGGAGCTCTGCCGCACTCAGGCACTCCCGGTCTCTCCGTGACCCCAAGGGTCCTGAGACCACACTGTCCCGGGAGGATTCCACCCCCCGCTTAGCCACTGCAGCGACGTCCCTCCGCCGAGCCAACTTCTAAAAGGTCCGATTTTGTGCTCCGCGGCTCTATCACTTGCCAGAAGCGGCCGGCGGAGGCCCCTCCCCCGCCGTCTATCCTCCCGAATATCGCCTCGGATTCACTTCTCCGCACGCCCTACCTTCCAGTAAGTGGTCGCTTCTCTGTTCAGAGAGTTGTTGCTACCATCCTGTTCGATCCCCTGTTGAGTTCGTAGGTGTTCAGAATGGTTTGATCCCTATTCAGCTGAATTCCTGAGACCAGAGGAAATCTAGGTCTCCTACTCCTCCGCCATCTTGCTCCGCCCCTATGATAATTTTTAAGTCTGCCTCACCATTTACTTTCCTCCCAACGTCTTGAGTTTGTTTATGGTTTCCCAGTTAACCAGTTTTGCGTGAAGAATCCTAGGCTGAATATCCTCTGCATGTGCACACAGCCTCCCAGTCAGCCAGGGATGCATGGCAAACTTCTGTAGCTCATTTTTATATCTTTCAAAGTTCTAGGATCTCCCTGTTAAAATTTTTGGCTGGTCCACTAGTCTGTCACTTGCACCAACAAGAACTACAGCTTTAGGTTAATAGAACTGTGGGTTACTAATTGATTAAAGAATGGAGAAAGATGTATCACAGAAAGAAGCAAGAACAAAAATACAAACATGATCATACTCACATGTCCAGAAGTCCTGATGGGCAATAACTTGATGTTAGGGTATGACCTTTGGGGCAGGACGCTTTCTCCCTTGTTGCTTCCCTCAGGGTATATGTTGGGTCTTTGGCATCCTTGAACTATATCAGAATAAAGACCATAGGGGGAGATGAGAAGATGACATATGGATAGCTTGATATTTGGAACTACTTTGATCACATAGCAATAAAGAATATCAGCAGGAAGGAGAGAGCTAGCAGGAGGAGGAGAGAGGTTTAGAGATCATTCACTCCATCAACTTTTCAATTTGGTAGACCAGGAGAAAGCCAAGGCACAAGGATGTTAACTTTTTAGTCTATAGTTTCATGATTAATTGGTAAATTAGTTGAAATTCATACCTAAGTCTCCTGGCTTTGAATCTTTATTTTTTCTATCATGTCTGACAAAGAAAAGCATAAGTTTTTGTAGAGCCATAAAATTTTTGAGCTAAAAATGAGCTAAAGGTATAATAATATCCTCCAGTAACAACTTTCCAATATTAATATAATTATTATTAGCACCCACTGAAACAACCAGCACTTGTTGAATGTCTAATATGTCCCTATCACTGTCTGTATAAGCTCATTACAAATATGCTGTTAATATTCTCACTTTAAAAAATTCGGAAAGGAGAGATTTAGTGATTTGTCTGAGAGCTGTCAGAAAGTAAGTGATAAAAAAAAGTAAGTGATAGAGCTGGGATCTAAACTTGGGTATGTTTGAATTCAAAGCATCTGCCTTTAATATCTGTTATGTTGCCTCATATAATGTTGGTGAAAGTACTTTAACCCTGTACTTGGCAGGCTTTAATGACTATACTGAAATCATTTTATGGTGCCTATGTCACCTAGTCTCTGCTTGAATATCTCCAGGGTTGGGAAACTCACCCCATCTTCAAGTAGCTCCTTTCCTTATATGACCACTTCTGTTGTTATAGTTCTCTCATATGTCTTTTGGTTACTCCTATAATGTTTGGCTTTCTGTATTTATACAGAATAAGTCAGTTTTCTCTTCTATATGAAGCCAGTCATCTTTAATGTTTTCTTTGCCAGGCTCAACACTTTTTTCAGCTATTTTTTAAAAATAAAATTATTTCCCATCTTGGCACTTTTCTTTGGGTGGACTGTAGATGAGAAACTATTACAGGTGGAAAACATATAATACTACAAGTAGAGTATTATAATAACAAAAATAGTAATAGCTACCCTTTATAGAGTTCTTATTATGTGGCATGCATAGTGCTAAATCTTTTATGACTCTTTACAATAACAGCATGAAGAAATAGGCTTACAGAAGCATTGTTGTCTGTCACTTCTGCAGCTAATAAGTGACCACCAAGCTAGAATTTGAACCAAGGTCTGCTTTAACTCCAACTCTTTACTGTGCTGCCCTTGGCTGGCATGGAATTCAGGGTGGCTATGTTACCTCCAGTGTTCTGGATGTTCTGGTTCTGTTAATTTAGTCTAAGAATTGTGTTAATCTTTTTGGCAGCAATATCATATTTGGCAGCGTATTACTGGCTTACATAAAGCTTGTATTCAACTAAAACCTATAAAACTTAATAAGATCTTAAATATTTGAGCTTCTGTCTGGTCTGGCCTTAACCTCTCATGTAATTAATTTTCAGTATAAATGCAAGGCTTTGTGTTCATTTCTTTGTCTTGGGGATTTCAGCCTAAGTTTCTAGGTTGTCAAGATAATTTTGAATTTTGAATCTGTCATCTACATTAACTCTTCTTCCAGATATATATGACCATGTACATCTTTGATAAGTATCCTTTTTTGTTTGTTTATCTAGTCTTTGATACAATTTCAAACAGATCAAGGGTGAATAAAGAATCTGTATGGCATATCTATTTTTTCCCCCAAACATTGTTGTGGTGTACATTTCTAAAGTCTCAGACACATATTTGGCCATGTCCATGGTTTTCTTTTCTTACTATTATTAAGATAATATGGTCACTTCATTTTAAGGTTCTGGTTGGAATGATGTTGAGGCTATCAGTTATAATATTTGCTTTCTCTGCCTTCTGAGCAAGACATTTATTACATAGGAAATAGAGAGTTTGGTAGATGTTCTACTTTTGTATTAGACTCCTATTAGAAGATATCTGAATAATTTAAACTCCACTCTATATAGTATATTTGGTATAAGTTTTGTAATGTTTTCTGGGCAAGTATCATACATATTTCTTTTCTGGATAGACCATCTATGGTATACTGCTGTAATAGTATAATTAGGTTTTTCTCTTTAGTCCCTCAATTTTATTATTTACCATACTTTATTGTTAAATTCATGCATTTCTATGTGGGAGTAACTTTTGGAAAGATCACTGGAATGGCTTTGAAAATTTCTGTATTTGGGGACTGACCATGCACTGTGAACTTGAGCAAGTCACTTAAGCTTTGTGGACCTCAGTTTCCTCATATATACAATAGGGATAGTAATATTCTTTATCATTTAGGATTACAAAAACAGGTCAGGATTTTGAAAATAAGAAACTGATATCTCACATAACAAGAAATCAAGAGGTGGGCAGTCTCTAGGACAAGTAGGGTAGCTATGGGAGCTTCTTAAAAACATTAGGGACTTAGGCTCTTCCGAGCTTTCATTTCACCATCCTTAGTGTGTAGTCCTTTGCCCTCTGGCTTCTTGAGTCATTGCCACAAAATTACTTCTTTAACTCTGGGCTTCATGTCTATGTTTGAGATATAAGGAATAGGAAAGGCTAACAGGCTAAAGGAAAAAGATCCTGGCTTTCTCTTAGGTTTTGTCACTAAGTTTAAGTCCCCCTAAGCATGCCTGCCTGCAGCTCATTGGCCAGAATCATGTTATATGGTCACCCCTTCCTTCAAGGAAAGCTGGGAAATTGTTTATTTTCGTGTTTTAGTCTCTATAATAGAGGAAAGCAAAGTAGAAGGGACTGTGTGTAGGGTTTGGGTCAGCTAGTTAACAATACCTGCCACATTCA